TAATTGTCTGCAGTGTGTATGTCTGAAATGCAAATTAAAATCACAGGTTGTCAAATGGGGGCTATTCTGGAAATCCCCGGCCTGCGATGATGTTAAACCGCAGTTTTCCAGGATCTTTTTTTTCACAAGAGCCATTCCCCAGTTGGCGGAACGAGATAGCCCTTTTTGGATAAACAACAGCGCCAAGAAACGTGAATCCACCACACACTGATTTAACATCAAGCAGTCTACTTTTCTCACACATTTGACGGAGTTCATGGGATAAACGAAAAATAACATTGCTATTGTGTATCAGATAGATTTCTTAAAAATTCTTAGTTTACAAAAACACCATTTACATTAACACAAAACGTATGATGATATAAAGATGAAGGAAATTTGTCAGTTTACTTCAAGTGAGCAAGCATTACTTAATCAGCAGAGCAGTTTGCTTATTTACATAAAAAAATAGGATAGAAGGATAGCAATCTTAATTACAAGTCTTAATTTTATTTAAGAGGATTTGTTTTTCATCCCTTAGCTGTAAACACAGATAGAGCTTCGCATGTGGGTAGATGCAAAAATCATCAATACATCATCCTCTCCGCCATGTTTTTGATGCGCATGTGATTAATTTGCCATTCGCATGTGATTAATTAGCTATTTCAATGATGAATAACCTAGGCTGCCACACACCTAGATTGCAGATGCGATCATGCACTAAATTTGAAACATTCAGATCTCTGACAGCCTGAATGGTTCTCGCGTTACAGTTTAGTACGTGGACTTATGTTAGCTGTGTTTTGCAAGGATGGCAGTATTGCAAAGTGGGGTCGCGTAAGTCTCCGCGATGCATAATTATCAATTTTGCATAAAGAGAAATGAACAGTTTCAGTGGCCGGTCGTTCGTCGAAAAATGCAAATTTGACAATAAACAGGACGTCGGAAAAAAAGGCTTGCAAAATCCGTAAAATACACCTACTTTTGAGGTTGCGATAAAACTGAGTTTTCGTCTTACCACTATGGAGGGGATTTAGCTTCCAAACTTATCCGATAAGCGGAATAGCAACTCTTCTGACGTGCGCTTAGGCGTGACGCAAATGCAGAATTGAAACTCGATTTAGGCTACAGTTTCAGAGGCGAACAATAAATATTAAAGCAAAATTACAGCAATTTTCGAGTTTGCACAGAGCCAACTTTCGAACTTTGACATGACCGTACGCGCAACTTAAGCGTGCACAATAACTGAATTCATAGTACTGCCCCTTCGTATTTATACTGTACGCAGATTGTACCATACCCAGTAGCAACTCCACTGTCGCCCCGTCCCTCCTCTGCTTGTCTCCTCGCCCATTCTAACTCTCTCTTTCTCTCTCACTCGCTCCCATGCATTGCAGATTCCGTTATATGAGGCTAATGTTCGAATTGCGAATGGTCTACGTCGAATTGTTATGGTCTACGGGTTGTTCGCAAGTTTTCCCCGACCGGGTTTTCTATAAAAGGGTGTTGATTGGTTGGGGGTTTTG